ACTGATAATTGAGTTCCAGTTATTTTTAGTCGAAACCTTAATCTTGTTTTATTGTTATTTTTTAAAACTTATTACCCAATTAATGAAGACAAAAAAATCAATTCCAGATTTGGTTTAAAGTATGTAATATAAAAGCTTTAAAATCCTTAAAAAAATGTGTTTTATCCTTAAAAATGTTTTTAGTAAATAAGAAGGCGTATAAAATTTTATGAAAAAAAAAATAGTAAATTGCGATGAATTAGCAATGATACCACTTAGTTAGCTTTTCTAAATTCAATTCTTGTTTTATAGCATTTCATTTAGTTTTTATCCTATAACTTGCAGTATTGTCTATTCTACTGCGATGAATTAGCAATGATACCACTTAGTTAGCTTTTCTAAATTCAATTCTTGTTTTATAGCATTTCATTTAGTTTTTATCCTATAACTTGCAGTATTGTCTATTCTACTGCGATGAATTAGCAATGATACCACTTAGTTAGCTTTTCTAAATTCAATTCTTGTTTTATAGCATTTCATTTAGTTTTTATCCTATAACTTGCAGTATTGTCTATTCTACTTGCAGTATTGTCTCAATAATTTGAGAGTGTGGGTAACTCAAGTTTTATTTAATCCAAACTTAGTCAGCAAAATTTAAGCTGCAGTATTTTATATTACAGAGTGAGGTAAAGCTCTAAAAATGCTTACAAAACTGGCTTAAATAACCTTTTTAAATCAAATTAATTTTGAAAAAAACAATCAAGGAATAATATTTATCTCCTGTCTTTAACATTTCTTTTAGTTGTTGGCTGATACTTTAAATGTATTCTTCTAACATATCTAAATTCAATGTTTGCAGGTCTTGCTGTTCAGAAAGTGTATAATTGCAAGATGTGCTCATATTCAACTGTTCAATATAGTCGTATCAAAGTTCATGCAAGAATTCATACCCAAGAACGTCCATTCACGTGTCACCTGTGTCCCAAAGCTTTCAATCATAAAATCAGTTTGGATGCCCATTTATGCCACCACACTGGAAAAAAACTATATAAATGCGAAATATGCTTTCAAGAATTCTCTTTCAGTAGTAATTTACGTAGACACATGCTAACACACATAAAAAATGGGAACACTTATCTTCAGTCTAAAAATTGAAAATTTTTCAGTTTGACTTATCTGTAGGTGGAGTGATCAGCATGCTTGACTATGAAACCTATGGTTGTGGGTTTGAATCTTGCTCAGGGCATGGATGTTTCTCTCTTTGTGTTTTCTTCTGCTGTGTGAATGTGGCCCCCTCTATGAAAGGGTCTGTGGCATGATTAATGTTGCTCGCCACCATTACTTAAGTTCACAGCATTACATTTGCTTCCTGGGTAACATTGAAAGAATAACACTTCCAGCATCTTCCGAGGCAAAAAAAACAAGAAGTTCAGTGCTTGCTATTAGAAAGAAAAAAAGTTCGACTTATCTTGAACTAAGTTTGAGTTATCTAAAATAATCATTTTCGGCAACTCTCTATTTTTGAAATTAGTTGAATATAATTCATGGATTTTAATATCTGTTATTGAAATTTATAAATTCAAAAATAAATGCAAGTTAATAACTATCTATATTCAAGTTTATTAACTGTCACTCATAAATAGAAAATATTCCAATCGATTTATCGTTATTAGTGGAATGCCGTTTTTGTATTTTATTGATTATAAAATCCAAAAAATTCATGTGTTTGAAATATTTTAAAAATTATGCAATAGTTATCAGTTAGCCTTACATTTATATTATTTCACATTCTGGATTTTTTTCCTTTGCATGTTGGCATCTGTGTATAAAATCTCTTGCAACAACCAGTTTTTGTTCAAGAGGATCATTGAGGTTTTGAGGCACCATAATTTTGAGACCAATTGAGGTTTTCTGTGGTTCAACTACTTGAAATTTGTAGTGTAAGAGAAATTTAAGAGAGTTGCTCATTCAAAGTTATTTTTTAAAAAAAATGATAATTCTATTTTTGAATGTAATTCAATTATTTTAACATTTGTTATTGAAATTTATGAATCCAAAATAAATGTGAAATAATTGCTATCTATATCCAAGTTCATTAACTATCAATCATAAATAGAAAATATTCCAGTCAATTAGTGGAATGCAGTTTTTATATTTTATTTGTTGTATTTCATTGAGTATTTTTGTGGTTGAACTGATTGAAATTTGTAGTTTAAATGAAATGTGAAAAAGAGTTACTCACGTTAAAAATTATTTTAAAAAATATTTAGATAGTCTCATTTTTAAATTTTTATTCTTTTTTGTTCTCTAAATTTGTTTATTTTTAATGAAATCTTGTTAGATTTTACAGGAATATATTGTGTTGAAAATTTTAATTTTGATATGTCTCGTAATAAGGCGTAAAATGTTACTCTTTAAAAGCAATTTAAGAAATAGACTACAAAACTAAATATTCAAGCAGTCATTCATTAATTTTTTTTAATTTCAGTGATTTATTTCTCCTTTTTTTTCTTTTTTCTTTCAAAAATTTACTGTGTCATATCTTAAAGTCAAAATAAATTGTAGTAATTAGATTTGTGACATTAAACTAAAATTATTTCATCTTAAATTAATTTTACATCCAATATTTATAAATAAATGAAATATTTAATTCATTTAAGGACCTTTTTTCGCACATTTTTAAGAGGCCGTACAATGCAACCTTTGAGTAAATTTTTATTTTTCAAAAAATTCGATCACATATACATTCTTATTAAAAAAATTTACTCTTTTTCCTTTATTTCAGCTTTTACATAATTAAAATTAAAGGTGCTGGGTAAAGATTGTCTGAACCTAACAGTTATGAATAGCTATTACAAGCTCAAAATTGTTATGAAAATACCGTATTACTTGCTGAAAAATGCTATGTCATGTGATAGCAGGCTTCAAAAACAGCTTTAAGCTAAATTAATTATTTCTGATACTTCTTGTAGCTCACTCTCTGAGATGAAGATAGCTATATAAGCATAAATTTTAGGAATTAATTTTGAAAACTTTTTTATTTAAAATGCTAACTACATAAAAAAAATTGTCAATAAATATATTATTAGATATATATTTTTTAATTGTACATATTTATGTATTTCTTTGTGCTGTGGTTCCTTTCCCAATAAAATTTGCATTTGATCATTTAAACATGGTGCGTAGTGTTTTTAAAAAGTACTTAAAGGTGCTGATTTTTATTCTTTAAAAACTCTTAAAGGTGTTTTTAAAAAAAGCTTAATTTTCCTTTTTCAAATATGAGATTTTTTTTCTTTACCATGTCGTTTATCGCTGCATATTATGCAAAAGCGTGGTTTTCACATTGTTCTATTCAATGTTTTCACAATTCATTCAACCACAATCCATTTCGGCGAACCGTGGGTCTGTAATGTATAATAGCGCCAATCATGTTACATACATATTTGATGAAATACTTGGGAGTTTGCATGTGCGTCTACTGAACTGGATTCGGTGGGATTCTTGCACTCCCATGTGCAACTTTGCTCCATTTTGCAAGATATTCTCAATTTAAGGCTTCATTTTCCACCTTCTGAAATCGAAAAGAAAAATATCTTGATCTTTTTATGGTGGCTAATATAATCAAGAAAACAGTTCTTTGTCAGAAACTAGTTATTTTATGGAAAGTCTTTGAAAATTATTTTGATAATGTATATAGGGCTTAAAAATATTTGAGTGCTTAAAAAGTGCTTATTTTTTGTTGGGAGATTTGGCTATGCACCATGTTTAAATCATTAAAAACATCTTTAGATGATTTGCAGTTTTTTAGCATACTTACATATCAAAAGAAACTTTCAACTCAGGCTAATGTTTGAATTGTTGAGTTTTAAATTTGAAAGAAAAAAAAATGTTTTTTGAGAGTCTTGTTCTTTTACATTATAAATTATAAAATATGCTTTTAATTAAACTTTATGTAAGTTTACTGTTGCGTTCATTTTGTCATGCTGTCAATATGGAAGAAATGTTGGCCTCTAAAGGTTCTCTAAAATGATTCGAAAATGTGAGTTGTAAGATTGTGTATAAATATATTCCATGACTGGAACAGTTTTTTTTAAACATTACTTTTTAACATTACAAAAACATGCTTGAATATGACGAAGTATATGCAAGATATCAAAGTATATAGTAAGATCCATAATAATAATAGGCAAAGTAATAATAGTTTTGAATAGATATTTTTGAACTCTTTATCAAAAAAGTACACACATGGCTATTTAATTTTCTAGCAAGAGTTAAAGCTACTTAATATTCACTATTGAGAAACATTGAAACCTGTTTGAGTGCAGGCCTTAACAGTGTGAAGATGAAAGGTGATTATTCGAAACACTGTGGTTTTGATATTTTTAATACTATTTTCCTGAGTGATCTTTAATTGATAATGTATTTTTTCTTATCTTTGTTGAAGCATCAATTTACTACTTCTGATGTGAATGCTTAATTTTTTTACCCCTCATGTGTATGTAATGCAGCGATGTCAACTGTTACAATTCATTCGTGATTATTACAATTCCGTCGTAAAGATTATAATAATGTGGTTGAAGTAATGAAAATTATGGGTTTTGAGAATCTTCGTAATAATCGACTAAAAATAAGACCCCCCCCCCCTATAACAAGAGTTATGACTTTTTTGTAGGCAGCAAATATAGGAAAACGAGTAACATTTAAGCCCTACTTTTTTATGCTTAATAGTAAATTTATGCTCAATATTAAATACAGAATCGAATTAAGTAGTATAGTATATAAATATATCGAATTCAGTTGTAAAAATGCCTTAAAAACTGCACTACTTGAAATTTTGTTTACATTATATGTATTATGGTACTATCGATTCTGTAGTAGCTAGTTTGGAAAATTAGCACTTCTGGTAATATAATCTGACTTCATTTTTGATAAGGATTCTTAAAATATATAGTAAGAGTGGTGATTAAGGTGCACCCTAATTTGAAAAAAGAAAAAAAAATTTAAATACTTTAGCATTGTAATTGTTGCATTTTATTTTTTTTAAAAATATTCTTATAATTTTAGGTCGAAAACAAGAACACAAATGTACAATTTGCTCCTATGTGGCCCCCCATGCTTGTGTTCTCAAACAGCACATGAAAAAGCACACACAAGAACGACCCTTTGCATGTCATTTGTGTCCAAAAGCTTTCAACTACAAAAACTGCTTAGATAACCATTTATGTAAACACACTGGCATAAAACCTTACAAGTGCCAAATCTGCTTAAGAGAATTCAGTGTCAAACAAAGTTTAAAAAGGCATATGTTGATTCATTTGCCTAAAGTTTAAGTTTCATTTGTGTACAGTTTGTTTAATTTGTCTAAAATTGTACTTCCCTTTTGTCTAAAATGCAAGATTTTATTTGAGTTAAATCAATAGGTTGACTTTTCAAGTATAATTTGTCTCGTTAGTTTCTTTTTCTCTTTTTTATCACAAACTCACTATATATATGTATATATAGATTGACTGAATCATTCTTGAATTGAATATGACTATATATATATATACACACTATATATATACAGTGAAACCTCCTGTTGTGGACACTCCTGAAAACGGACCCCTCTTAATACGGACATAGTTTTAATTCCCGGTGAATCTTCTATGAATAAACCATTATGTACATTCTCTGCAAAGTGGACACTCACGTAACCGGACGTGTACAGTCCCTTTTTGCTCTGTAACGTTATTTTCTATCTCTTCAATCCAGACCCAACTTTTTCTAAATTTGAAAAAAGAACTATTTCTGCTTTAAATTGCAAGAAGAAAAGAAGCAACTTATCACCATTTTTTAAGCATGTAAGTTTTTAGCCTTCTCTATAACTAAAAATATTGTTAAGCTATTTTACTACTAAAGAATCAATCTTTCTCATGTCACCTTACCTTATCTTTGCAAAGAAAGGAGAGGAAATGATACTGCTCTTGTGAAATAATTCAGACAGTGGCATCTTTTGTTCTTTTCATCTGGAGGACACAGGTTATGAGACCCCTCAATTTGGAATGATGCTTTAAATGCTCTAAATGTTTCTTTTACTCTGAAATTTACTATCATTTTCTTATGAAATTGAAGACTGTATTTGACACAGCTGGAGTAAAAAAAAAAGAACAGATGTATGTATAATCGTTGAGTTGTATATAAATGAAACATTTATTCAGACACTTGATGGATGATCAATTGTAAATAATATCAATGATCAACTGCTCCATAGGTCCCCATACCTTACAGGTAGGCATTGCTTTTTCTTTTTTTTTTTTTTTTTTTTTCANTTTTTTTTTTTTTTTTTTTTTTTTTTTTTTTTTTTTTTGTGCATCATGGGAGGTATTAACCATGTTTCCTATCAAGTGATTGGTAGGTGTTAGTAACCTAATAATTGAAACCGACTAAGGACTAAAAGCTTGTATTCGGTATCATATCATATGACTAACTTGAATATCAGTGTTAATAGGAAAATTATATTCATTTATCTGTAGCTACATCACGAATTATGTATTTATATCAAACTTTTTTTTATATTCTTTTTTGTATAGAAAATAATATTTCTTCATGTTTAAATAAATATAGTAGTAAGTAGATAGTTATTGTAGATTATTTAATTATTTCTATATCCTTGAAAATATTCTAAAAAAATTTACGGTGTTTAACTTCGTTATTTGTGTGCCCTTCCCGTAAACGGACAATTTTTCGGTCCCAAGAATGTCCGCTTAACCAAAGTTTCACTGTATATATATATATTGATAAATTAACTGAATAATTATTGAATTGAATATGAGGAAATTCGATTTCCTTCTTACAAAATTAAATTCATTACATTTCATGCTGTTTATGAGGTATTTTTATATGCTGCAATGCTTAATTTATTGTTTTAATTACATAAAAATTTTTGTTTCATTTATCTAAAATTTTATTTACCTTTAGTCTAAAATGCAATATTTAGTTTTAATAACTTAAATTGGAATTTTCAATAATAATGTGTCTTGTATAAATCTTTTTTTGTCATACTAAATTTTTTCGTGGAATTTAATAATTGCTTGATTTAAATATGAAATTTGACCTCTTTCAGTTTGAATGCATTACATTATGTATTGTTTATAAATTATTTTTATATACTGTTAATGTATCTTTTAACGTATGTTAAAGTATTTGGTTCAGTAATAGACTCACTGTACATTTTATGTATTTCCATGAAATGTATCATTTTTAAATGCTTATGGGCTTAAATGGGCTTTGTTACAGAGCTGCCTAATTTTCAGATAATATAAATGAAATATGTTCATTTAATTTTATCTGATATTATTTATAAATTATTTAATTTAGTTATGGATTTTGTTGTAAGCATAAACAAAATTATATATGTGTGGTGGACAATTCTCCAATTTTTTTACCAATTACTTTAAAAATTTATTTGTTTGCAATACTTTTTTAGCTGTGATTCTGGTATCTAAGTCCTATATTTTTTGTGCAACAAAACAAAATGTTACAGAAAGCAAATAAATTGCAAAATAATTTGCACAAAAAACACTTAAAATACAATAACTTTCAATCTAATTGAAATATATAAAAAGTTTGTGTACTGTTCTTAAAAGAACGTGGCCCTTTGAGCATACTGAATTTAAAATTCCTCTAGCCTGCAGAGCAGTCTGCACGGTATTTTTATTAATAACGGTCACAGTTCCACATTTTGATTGTTGTTGTTTTCTTTTTAAGTACTGTTTGTCAAATCTTCAGATAAGAAACAATAAATATCATTTCTTACTTGTTATTGTAATGTTTACATTATGTTTTTTAAAAAATTTGTTTTCTTCTAGGATTTATATGCTGAAAGAAATTTCTTTAAATTAAATAATTAATTTCATTATTAAAATATGTTTAGCAAAAAAATTGTCTAGCTTTTCAATGGGATACCTGCAAGTGATGTAGTGTGGGCATCTCGACCCTGATTGGTTGTTGAAACATGACATTTGTTTATGTTATCAACTGTTCTTTTCATTCTATTTCGAGTTAGCCCATCCTGTCTATTATCAATTTTCTTAAGTGACACATTCTAATTTCCTTCACAAAGATTTAAATTCTTTCACTGAATACTTCTTACTTAACACAAAGAAAGTAGAACGAAAACAAACTAATTATGCATCAAAGTTGCCAGGTACACAAACAAGAAATTCTCTGTGGGATACGACATTGTTTTTAATTAACTTCATGTTAATTAATATTCTAACTTATGTGGAGAGACTTAGATCAACTTTAACACGCCATCTTGTTTTTAAACAATCAGCTGATGCTGAGGTCACATGTCTAGGTATTAAAGATCTTCTTTAAGTGCAAGTATCCAAATGTAATTCATAATTTTAATTCAAACTATGTTTTCTTGTAAAGAGTATATCTTTTCAAAGTGTGTAACAATCAGGGTAAGTAGGAAAAGTCAGGGAAATTTTTCAGACCTTAGTAAAAAGAATTCTAAGTTTAGAAATATTGTATAATACTGAAGATAACCCTATTTTACTTATTAGTAAATAATTTATTTCACTTTCTTTTGCAGTTACTTCTGTCTGTTTTAATCCTTTCCTGCATTCAAAGATTCTTTTCCTAATTTGATGTACAATAAGAAAAATAGATTTAGTCAAAATTTGTGCACATTTAGTATTGAAAAATATTTTTGTTTTTATGTGCTATATGTTTGTAAATATTAACTATTTGTTTTTTCAACTGATAAAAATTAAAAAAATAATTTAGAAAATATTATTTAAATAATCATGTAAAAACAAAGCAGTCTGAATCTTTTTTTTTAGAATTCACTTCACATGATTTCCTTAATTTATTTCATGATGGTTATATTTTTTTAAATATAAATCTTTATCTTAAGCTTTCTTATTTAGTTTAAGATATAAATTAATATTACTGAAAGAATTTTAAGTCATTGATTAAATTTGTTTACTGTTTAATTTTACTCACTAGAAAATTTACGAAAAATTGTTAGAATAAAAGTTCTAAAAAACATGGAAAGGTTTGGGAAATTTTGATCAAAATTTTATCATACTGATTTTCTCTATATAAAAAAAATTTTATGACTTGAAATGTTTTTTATAGGACTTTATTTTTTCTTTTATTGTATTTCCTTTATTTTTCTATGTTCTTTTTATCTATTTATTCCATTCTATTCAAATATTCTGTGTGATTTTATTTTAATTTTTAGGATATGTATTTGAAAAACCATTGAAACATAGATGTCTTCATTGTGGGTACCTGGCTACCCATTTATGTCGCCTGAAACAACACATGAAAGTGCATACCCAAGAGCGTCCATATGCTTGCAGCTTATGCCCTGGAACTTTTAACCATAAAACCAGTCTTATAAGCCACATGTATTCTCATACTGGTAAAATGCCTTACAGATGTGAAATTTGCTTGAAAGAATTTGCTTTCAAATATAGCTATAAAAGACACATGTTGATCCATGCGTCAAAAAAGCAAAATAAATTCAGCAAAAACTCTTAGTACAATTTGATGTGTATCAAAATACTGGTGAGACATTGGTGTTTAAACTTATCAACAAAAAACTTTTATCAATTATGGATACATTTTAGTGGTACAGTAGGGAACCGATTATCCGGGACCATCGCTATTCCGGATAACTGATTTTTCCGGTTTTCTGAATCGCTACAAAAAGCCGTTTTTTTATTGTTAAACCCAACTAAAAAAAAAAAATATTTGGAAATAATCTTAAAAAGAGGAAAAAACGATGAAGTAATACTCTAATGATTATTTCCAAAATGATGGTAAGGTAACCATCTTTTAAAAAAGAAGGAAAAATCTTATGAGGAAAAAAAAATTTTTTTTTTTAAAAAAAATGGCGATTTATCGAATTTCGTTCCGGTTTTCTGATTTCCGGATAACGGGTTCTGTACTGTATTACGATAGTCAGTTCAATTCAGCAATCTAATTCTTATTCTAAGTTTATGCTATTTATGTAATAGGATTATACAGTGAAACTTCTCGGGAGCAATCACTATCTGTTCCACAGTAAAATGGTCGTTAAAGGAGGTTAGTCAATCTTATGAGTTACTTCCATTGACTTCAAAATGCTATCAGAGGTACATAATTTTTTGTAAACTATTTTAATTTGTGTCACTACCTTGGTGCTGAAATGTCATTAGTGGTGGCATCATGAATAAAATTTAGCATCAATAAAAACAATCCCTATTGATATTATTATGAGTAAAATCAAATTTACCAATGATGGAATTATTTTTAATAAATGAACAATTATGTTTTTCGTTTAAGTTTCATTTAATTTTACATCATAAAAATTAGTTAGCTTTGAATAATATTAAGAGGTTTGTTTGTTCGTGATGCTTAGTTTTTTTTCTAAAATAACTTTTTCTAATTTAACTTTCAACTCTAAAAGTAAATCATTAATAGCAATATCTTAAGTACAATCTGACTACAATGTGAGGTTGCAAATTTCTTACTCATATCATCAAAAAGAATCCTCTAAATAAAAACCTCGCAGAAATGTTTTGAACACATTTTAATTACTTATTTGTTTTGCTTATATTTTTGTTCTGATATTTTTTCGTGCTTCCTTATTCGGCCATTTGGTGAAGACGTTTGCCCGGTTGCTGGTAGAGATTTTGATGTTTTTTTCTAAAGGTTTTCTTCAACACAAAGTCTATGGAAGAAATTCTGTGCCTCTCAAAAGTGGTCATAAGTAGAGCAAGTTGCTACACAGAGGTAGTCTTTCCTGGAGGTTTCACTGTATAATGAACTGCATATTTGCAGAATTTTTTTAAATTCATTTGCTTCACTTTAAAAACCCTTTTCCCATGCAATTTTGGGTTTTAAGTTTTTTTTAATTTTTGTTTTCTAAAAGTTTTTTTTCTCGTTATGTTTAATTCGCTATTTTTTCTGACTATTTAGTATAATGCTTTTTAATAAAAATGCGAATAAAGGCTTTGCTTTATTAATAAAAGAAAATAGTATTTTAAATGTTTTTAAAACTCTTTTGGATTTTTTCCTCAAAAATTCAAACATTAAAGTTATGTTGTTACTTTGAATAGATATCTTGATATTGTAAATTTATCTGTCTTTAAAATTTTTAAGATTTTCTTTTGTTGTTTATTTTGATGTTGAAAGTTTTCAAAAACAAAATTTTTTATAAATCTTCAAGCATACAAGGGGGAAATACTAAATTTCTTTCTGAAAATGCTGATTACCAAATTTCATTGGTTTAATTTTGTCACAGAAAATCTCAAATTCTAAAATAATGTCTGTTACATTTTTCTCAGTTTGATTGGACAATAGGTTTGTATTTCATGTAAAAATAAGAATATGTTATTCACTTTATGTAATTTAAATAAATATAGAAGAATTATGATTGTCTTCTGAACCACGCTTTCTCTGAATGTTTTTTCTTTTAATTTGGAAAATTTAGTTCATTGTATTCTAGTTTGGTTTTTATTTTACTGTTAATTTTTTCCCGTTGAAATATTTTAAATATGTTATAAATATTTGTTTAATAAATTTAAATAATTATGTTTTGTTTGTTATACTACAATGTTTTTCAAACGATTTGAAATAAATATTCTTTATTTGATTTGTATTTAATGATTTTTTATTACTATTTTCTTAATGCTATTTTTTATTCTAGTCCCTTGAGTTAAGAGTAAATATAGTGTGACTATGTACATATTTAAATTTTTCTAGTGATAATGGTTTGGTGAGAGTGTATGCTTATGCATGTAATGAAATAATGCATGATGATATAACAGAATTATTTTTTAAAATCAGGTATCCTATTTTTTTTCAGCCGGCCTAAATCTATGGATGAAATTAATTTTAAAGTATAATTTAAAAATTAGTGTTAAAAAGTACTTACACTAAAGAATGTATTTGAGAAAGATTAAAATTTTTATGAATGTTTATTTTTTTATTATTATTATTTTAAAAAAAAGCAAAACCAGAATTTTTTTTCTCCCTGTGTGTTTGCCTAATACTGTAAGTGCAAATTTTTGTAGCTTCAAAGCTACCTTACTGTTCAAGACCATTTGCAAGCAAACAATAAATGCTGAGTAAATTTTCTGCACTAAATTTTAAAAAGTGTGATTGAATTTGCCTTTCAGATTTTCCAATGTGCGAACATTCTAAATAATACTTTGAATTATACAAAATTCAATCTTCTTTTCAAAATTTGTCATTTTTATTTATTGTTTGTTTGATAAATTTTTATGTTTATCATTTTATGTTCTTATTATTCACAAAAATTTGGAATTAAAAATACATTTTTTACTTAAAAAGTTTGAAAAATATTTCATGCATTTGAATATATTTTATAACAGAAAGTTTGGTTGGTTGGTTGGTTCTTATGCCACTTGCCACACGGGCAGGCTTGCTTGTTGAAACCGAGCAGATTTAAGGCAGAGTGTGCGATTCTTGTTTTTCAGTAGCACCATCTATGGCCTAGAATTCGACTTCTGCCACATCATACGTCACACCTGTTTATAAGGCGGACCCATTCATACATCCATTCATTCATCAACAGATTGTAATTTTGACCTGAATCAGAGAACGATCTATCTCCATTCCAGTACCCCCAGAGGTATTGATTTGTTATGGAAACATGGAGAACTTTGGGACTCAACAGAATTTTAACGTGCATCAGTCACCAACTACACGGGGAGTTTTCGGCACACAAACTCTCGGACGTGGTCCCAGCGCCCTACCGACCAGGCTATCCCGACCACAGAAAGCTTATATACCTTTCTGAATCGATCTAAAGAGTGTTTGTTTTATTTTTATGGCTTATGAATTTCAAAAAAAACATTACCTCTATTGATTGTATATTAACTAAAGTAATTATTAAAAATTGTTGTATTTATTTTAAGTTAAAAATTTGAGAAATTGATTAAAAAAAATCATTTTTACTAAAAAAGATTAAAATCTTATCTTTCAATTAAAAAAAAGGAAAACTTGAATTTTTTTTTTCTTAATTTAAAAAGTAATTAAACTAAATCTGTCAAAATAATCATTCTGCTATTAAAGTATCCTATCTGTTCAATTTTACATGTTTATTTTAACCTTTGTGTCAAGTTTTAAAATTTTTTTATTAAGTAAATAATAATTTATGTGGGCTGTGTCAAATAATTAGTTTTAAAAGCTATTCAATAAAACAAACAGAATTTATTTTATTCTTTTTACAGGTTACGAAACTTGTGAGATATCTGAAACTGCTCAAACATATAAAGTGTATTATTCACCAAATGAATGTGCTGACTTTTCTTCTCTAGATCGTCGATTTTCGTGCCATTTATGTCCAAAAACATTTAGACAAAAAGTTAGTTTGATAGCTCATATGTGTACTCATACAGGAAGAAAACCATTCCAATGTAATATTTGCTTACAAGCATTTTCTTTTAAGCATAATTGGAAAAGGCATATGATTCTTCACAAGCATTAGTTACAGTAAGTTTGGTGTACAACTTTTGATGAGAAGTTTCTGAAAAGAAATCAAAACAACAACTTTTTGAAAAAATATATTTTTCGTCCCCAACCTGATAATTTTCTGTTTCATCATTAAATGTTTGTTAACTTGAATACTTTTGTAGGAATTCTTTATGTTTACCATACATTGTTATTTTATCAGATAATTTTTTTTTTCACTTTTAAACAACTATTATGATTATCATTGTTGCTATTGAATAATATTAAATAATTCTCCATATAAACTAAATTATGCATTAAACATTTTATATTTAATATGTATTATCCTTTTATTTAATAAAGTTTCTGAAAAAAATTTTTTATCATCTTAAATAATTTGTTCTGAGAAAATTAAGCTATTTGTTCTTGGAAAATTAAGCTATTAAAATAAATTAGCTACTAGTTGAAAAACAGAGAAATTTTACCCAAGCTAATTACTATTGATGTTCTTCTCATGTTTATTCTTAATTGTAATTAAATGCTTATTTTCTCTAATTATTTTTCAGATTTATTATATTGTTCAATTAAAAATTAAAAGATTTTCTATTATGTTTTCCATCAGAAACTCAAATTTAGTACTTAAGGAAGAAAAAAATTTCTCACAATCTAAGAAGCCTAACAATTAATGACAAAATTATTGTGAGTCTTTATATTGTGTAATTGATTAGGCCAAAATTATTTCCCATCTGAGACAGTTTTAAGCCTTGGACAAGAACTGTATGCTATAGGATCTAGAACACTCAGTTTTACAGATGTGCAGGATTATAGGTATAAACATAAAGCGTCAACTACTTGACATATTATAGACTGAAAAAGATATCACTAAATTATGAACTAGAATGAAGAACTTCCTTTGACAAAATTATTTTTAAACATATTACTCTGATTAATTGTTTAAAGTGTGTTTGGTTTTCTTTAAATAAATGTAATCAGGGCTGATTGTGCTCCGGAAAAAATCCGGATTTCCGGATTTTTCGTTAACCGTGATCCGGAAGTTTCCGGAGATCGAAGGTTCAGATGTTTAAAAAAATCGGTGATCACAAAATAGTTCGGAAATCATATTTTCAAAGGTGGAACTTAAAAACGCAGTTTATTTTATTTGTTTATAAGAGAGCTACTTTCTAAGCTTATATTCAAGATTAATATTAATTTTTTATCAGTAAATAGTTATTATAATCGTAAACTCAAGAAAGAAAGACATATTTGTAAATTTCAATTGCTTCTCCAGGTCATCATAGGTATGTGTAAAATTTTAAATATATTTTAAGTAAACTAGGAAGTATTGAGAAAAAGGAAAAAACCTTGTTTAAATTTTTTTCTAATTTTTCGGTTTAAACTTTTTATTTATTTATTATTTTTTTTTTACTCAAGAAATTTTCCGGAATTTCGACTGGGGCTCACAATCCCCCCTGTGTAATTCATAGCTACTTATTTTGTCTTTCCAATTATGGAATTTCGAATTTAGGTTCCTGTGAAGTAACCCATACTAGTTTTTAAAAAAATATTTCTACTTCTAAAAAAAAATATTTGAATTATATAAAATTTGAAATTAACAAATGTCAATCATAATTCATAAAAAATTATAATTGTTTTTGAAGCACAAATGAGTAAAAATTGTTTTAAAAATAACTCCTAAATTATTTGCGTTTATGGGGTATTACGTTTTAGTTTAAAGTTTAAGCATAAGTTTTTATCAACTCTTGAATTGTGATAAATTATAAAAAATTGTAATTAGTATCATTTTTATTTTTATAGAATCACCTTAAGAGTAAACAAATAATAGAATCCAGTTTTTTATTCACTTAGATACTTTTTAAAGTATGGCGAATTTATCCTACCTAAAAAGTTAAAATAACATCAAATGTTTCAAAATTTCGACCACTATACTAGCTGATCTATTGAGCCCATATTTTACAGATAGTGTCTATATTTCAAGAATCAAATATGTGAATCTCTTGAAATGAAAGTACTATTATTCAAAGAAGGTTTATAGTGGCATATTTTGTTACTGTATTGTTTATACTAATTAAAATCATATTTTAGATTTTTTGATGTTTATGGAATAAAATGTATTTTATTTCAAAATGCAGAAAATTATATTTTTCATTGCATTCATGTAAACTAATTTATAAAATTATTTTAAGATTGTATATATAATAAGGATTAAGTCTGGATTCTCTTAATCACAATTATTATTTATGTTTGCTAGCTTTAAAAAAATGTAACTTGAATCTCACATTTTTCTTTTTCAATGCAATTTCACTCAAATTTTACAACTCTTTATATACAATAAGTCTCAAAATAAACTTTACTACCATATCCCGTCAGTGGCTAATTGAAAAAACATTTAAAAAATTAGTTTTAATCTTTGTAAATTATATATTTTTTGCCACTAAAAATTTAATGCTCTTTTTATACTATGAATCACAAAATAAAGTTCATCACCATATCCCTTTGACGGCATATTGCTAAAATTTCATTTAAACTTTTTATCTATGTAAATTATTTATTTTTTGTTGCCAAAAACTATTTTATGGTCCACTGTGTACAATATAAAACTAATTAGCACCGCAACAGTTGTATTTAAAAAAAACATTTGCATTATTTATTTTACTATTTCCTGATTTTCACCACATTGAGCTGTTTATTCTGTTCATTTATTTAATTAAAACCCCTTTTTTATTAACATTTTAATTTTTTTACAGGTTTCTTGTCTAATGTAAAGGTTTACAGGTGTTCCTTTTGTCCATATGTATCCTATCACTCTGGCAGTCTAAAAAACCATTTAAAAGTACACACCCAAGAGCGGCCATATGCTTGCCACCTGTGTCCAAAGACTTTTAATCATAAACTTAGTTTGGATGGGCACTTATGTGCTCACACTGGGAAAAAACCATACAAGTGCACAATTTGTTTCAAAGAATTTGCATTTAAGCAAAACATGAAGCGTCATATGTTAATTCATATTTCTTAAAGGAATATCTTTAAGCTATATGGTGATAGTTTGAAATTTTGTTTAGATAATATCATATTTATTTTATCAATGTTGTTTCATTATTTTAATTCTTCATTGAAACATGAAAATAAGTTTAAAACACTTTTGTGTGATATTTTTTTTAACAATCTGTCTTATTTGTAACTTTTTTTTTGTGAAACCTTACATTACATCAATTTTATTTTACTATCTTTAAAATCTATTTTCAAATATAATGTTAAACTTTTATTTAAGTACAAATTCTACACATGTTGTGTGCTATATTATAATTTACACCATTTTGCTGAAAAAAGCGTGGTGTAGCATAAGTTAAAGAAAAGAAAAATGATGAATTGAAATACTGAACATGTCTTTTTAAATTTAAGGATTTAAACTATGTCAAAAACATCAGTGTATGTTTAAATGAGAATAATAAAAGAAATTTATATGTTCCGTGTCTATAAACTAGAAAATTTGCTTTGTATAAAATATTCAACTACACAATTTTTCTGTGCTCATCTTTGCATATAAGCAGCAAATATGCAATTGCATCTCAAACAAAATCACCAGAATACCGGAAATAACATTTTAAAAAACACATAAAATACAGAATCTTAATATGTAAATAAAAGATGCAAATATACGTAACACCTTACCACATTTAGCATATTTACAATTTTTTAAAGTCATAACTCTTAATCTGAATGCAGAGCTGTAAATATATTACAAAAAAAAATTTCTGTATGTTGTAACTCATGTGCTCATGATTTAACCCATTCTTAGTGCAAGGACCTTATTTGTGACAACTTAAGTCTGATGAGGTTTAGAACAAAACCCTTATTTTAAAGATGGACCACACAGAAAAATTCATTGGACTCACATCTGGTGAAAAAGGTGACCATTCTTGTGCTGTGAGAAAATTCGATAAATTTGCTTTACTTCATTCACTAAGTTCATTTAGCTCTGTGTATTAAAACAGAATCTTGTTGAAAATTATATTTATTACTTTTCTTACGTTTTTGATTTAAGAGGCATAACATATCTCAAAATAAGTTTCGGGTTTTTAAACTTTTGTTCAAGCTATCTATCACTCTATTGGTTTTCCAATATACTTCCTTAATTTTATGTAATAAAAAGTTCAATTATTTTCTTAAATTTATTCATTAAAAATATTATGTAACACACTCATAACAAAACATTCTTATTTATTATAAAATGGAGTTCATCAATATTTTTTGTTTATTAAAAAAACTTGAAAGGAAAAGAAACATATTCTACAAGTGTATCTTACATTTTAAATAAAATAGTCCAAATCTTTTTTACATATTAATATTAATGTGCTATTATTGCGATATATATGTACACAATTTTCAAATATTTTTAAAAAAATTATAGATCTAAGTTTTATGTTTAATTAGTTCTGACATCAGTTATTTGGTTGGTAAATTACTCATCTGCTTTAAATAAAACTTTTATTTCCAGATTTTGATACTCTTTCAACATTGGGTGTAGATGGTAATTGTGTGTTTGCCAGTGTCAGCGTGAGAGACCACCGCAGTAAACAGACTGTGTTTCGTCCATTTGCTTGTCCCATGTGTCCTAAAACATTCAATTCAAAAGTGAGTCTGGATGCTCATTTGTGCTCTCATACTGGACAAAAGCTGTTTAAGTGCCAGATTTGCTCGCGAGAATTCTCTTTCAAACATAGTCTGAAAAGGCATCAGATGATTGTACATGGAAAGCATGACTAAATTGTCAATTTATGTTGCCTTTTTTAGATCTATCAAACTATTAAATACATATATTGGTTTAAGTAGGAATTTTTCTTTTATTTTGACACTTATTAGCTACCTTTCTACTGAAGACTTTTATGTCCAAGACTTTAGTGACAAACCATGTTGTAGTGCCTGATTATACACTAAGAAAATGCTGAATATGCAACATTCTATGTGTATATATTTTTAAATTGTATGTGAAAGAGTACAGAAACTTTTGTTTTGGACTAGGTTTAATTTTAATTTTTCGCAATTTTGGCTTTTATAAAGTTTTCTTTTTCATTTAGTTTTAACAGGCAGGATGACCAATCTAAAGACTAGATGATTCTTTCTGTGAGATGGTCTATATATTTTATTTTATCACTAGTCTTGAACAGCTCACCCAGTTTTGAGCATATATGGCAACGTTACTTTTAAAAAGTAACGAGTAAAAGTACAAGTATTTTTAAAAAAAGTAACGAGTAAAAAGTAAAAAGTTCTTATTTTAAAAAGTAACGAGTAAAAAGTACAAGTAAAAGTACANTGGAAAACATGACTAAATTCTCATTTTATGTTGCTTTTTTAAGATCTATCAAACTTTTAAATACATATATTGGTTTAAGTATGAATTTTTCTTCTATTTTGACACTTATTTGCTACCTTTCTACTGAAGACTTTAGTGTACGCGACTGTAGTGACAAACCATGTTGTAGTGCCTGATTATACACTGAGAGAATGAAGAAATTACAACATTCTATGTGTATATATTTTTAAATTGTATGTGAAAGAGTAAGGAAACTTTTGTTTTGGACTGGGTTTAATTATAATTTCTTGCGATTTTGGCTTTTATAAAGTTTTTTTCATTTTGTTTTAACAACCAAAAGACCAATCTAAAGAATAGGTGATTCTTTCGGCAAGATGGTCTATATATTTTATTTTATCACCAGCCTTGAACAGCCGACCCAATTTTGAGTTTATGATTACCAATGTTCCACTTTGCAGCCTTGTAATTTTGGACTCGATCCAGAAGTCAAGGATATTCCTGGAGTTGGATATTTGCTATCGTGGATGACTTTTTTGATAGAACTAACCCTCATTAGCGTTACAGGGAGAGGAAAACCTCCCACAGTTAGCTTGACTTCAAGATGACTCTAATCCATGATACATTTACGACTGAGGATTGTGGTCGGTTCAAAACGAGTGCATCATTTACATCTACCAGACATCATGAAGATTCTAACCCGATTCTCCTCATTTTGTGGCGAGCGCTCTATCCCATTAGCCACCATGGCTCAGTATGCCTTAAGTGTAAATGTAAATTAAGACTTTTTATAGTGAAAAAGCTTTGAAAATTATGTATAAAATTACTGCGCATAAAGCTTCAAACAAGTGAATAACTATGTTTCAAATGAAAGATTTTATTTAAGCTACAGCAAATTTCAGACATAATTTGGTTCCAACTAAAAAATTTTTTTTTCCTTAACAATTCAGCATAAAACATTAGTTTTCTACAAAAGATTTGTAACAGAGAACAGTATTATAAACGATGTTTTGTAATCATCGTCTTTCATATGTATTTTCACAATATTTTTAGAAGAAGATGCTGTCATTGGATGCCGCAAATTATTAACTAGACGAGGAAAAATTTTAAAAAATACCATCTAAATTTGAAAAATCACCATATTGAGGTAGGTGAGGTAAAAAATTTTAAAGCGTGATTGATTGCCAGATGACACTTGAAAGTATTTTAAATGGTCACTTTTCAACTCCCCTCTGTTTCCTCAGTCAATCAAACAGGTTTCGATGTTTATTACCCGCCTTCCTTTTTACCTCTCTGAAATATTTGCTTCCTCAAGTGTAAACATTTCTTTTACTTCATTGTTAATAGAATTGTTAAATGTCTGTTTCAATGTCATAAATTACAGAAGATACTGTACCGAAAAGTTATAAGTGCTTAGATGAGTAAAAATTACCTATAAATGCTATTTTTCTTTTTTTAAATAACTATTGTCAGCATTTTGAATGTGACTTTCATAGTTCTTTGCCATTCTTTTAATGTTTATTCTTCTCTTAAATGTATTTTTCATTTCATCATTATAAAAGTGCTAAATCTATGTTATTATAATATAAAATGTTTATTTAACTTATTATCTAAGTAATCAATTAATGCTTAACTTTATCTTTTTTAAAATATCTATATATCAAAAATTTTAAATGAAGGTAAGCTGGGCTCTGATTGCAGAATCTACTATTTGTCCTCGCAATATTTTCGAGAGAGCTCTCTTGTGCATGCCTGAAACGAAAAAAAAGTTATTGACAAATTTCTTTGGAATATTTGATTGTTTTCAATACGTAAAGAAATCGTGTAAAAAAAAATTTGAGTTCTCTTTTATGCATTATTTGTATTACATAAGGTTTTTTTTTTTCAAATCATAGTGTAATCTCCTATTTACTGCTCTATGAAGAGCATTTGTTACTTTCTTTATTATTTTTGAGTAAAAGCGATTTATAAAATCGCTTTAAATTTTACTGTTTCAATTTTTTCCATCTTTTGTCCACTCCTCATATTAATTTTCAAGCAAGGGGATGAGGTCATCTATTAATAACACAGGTTTTCTCTTTCTCAAAATATGGATTATTTCCTTACCAGAATCTTGGATTATTTTCGATTAAATTTTATATATATATGTGGTGCCCAATTCCTGTGCAGTAACCTGATATCAGTTCTTAGATCCGTCAGTTAGAAGTCGCCTTTAGCTTGAAGTCTCGCCAGACTATGTAAGCTGGAAGCTGATCCCTGTGCACGACTAGGAAGCAATGGGAATTTCCCTAAGACGAGGGAGCGGGATTGACAACGAACCGAAAAAGACGTATGGACTCCAAAGAGGAGTTATGATTATACCATACATTCAAATACGAACTCTTACTTATTATTATTTTTTGTTATTCGTGTGATTGTTAATCGTCCGTCCTTATGTAAATTTAATCTTCAATATATATGTTTTTGTTTAAGAATGTGTCTTTTATTTAAGACGATCACTCATGCCGTCCCCACATATATCAGGGCTCGAAAAAACTCAGAAATTTTACCCGTCGTTCTTTGAAATTAACCCGTAGCTTCCTTCTAAATAAATAAAAATATAATTTTCTCTTATTTATTACAAACATTTATATAAATTGCACAGTGAATTAATAGTTACTAGGATTGCATTATACAGCAGTGGTTCCAAAACTTTTTAGACCCCTTTTGCCCACGGACCCCCAAGTGAAAAACTGCATATGTGTACGGTATTAAAATTACAAATTAAAAAAAAAAAACATTTTGTTGAAGAACTGTTTGTTGAAATTATATCTTTCGTTTAAAATAAAAAAATAATGACTTGGATGAATGTGATAAGATTTTAAGAGTGTATTTATGTCCGGCTCAATGTTTGTGAGCACTAATTTCTAATCATTTATTTATTTATTTTTGTGATGAGGCTCATTACGGCACTGAAACTGAGAGATACAGAAAAAGTTTTACAACAAACTCAGTTTTACGATTTTAGTTTTGATTAAATTTAATTGTTCCTCTTTTAGTTTCAAATTAGTTTCGTTAAGTTTGACAAATATACTGAAAATACATCCGCTGTAGCTTGTTTTAAGTTAGCCAGAAAACCTCAGTATCTTCCTACCATTGCCGGAGCACCGTCAGTAGCTACAGATATTATATTAGTCAAGAGTACCGCTTTTAATTCAGTCAATAGCGTTTCACCTTTCGTATCGCTTTCCAAACACTTAGCAAATAACAATTCTTGGTAGAATTTGTATTCTTTTACAAATCTTACATAAGCTAAAAGTAAAAGCTTCATTTCCTGGATAAGTGGACTCGTCAAGCTATATAGAAAATTCAGATATTTTTAAGTACTTACATAAAGAATTTTCTACGCACTTCAATCCTTCTTTGTACATTATTATTACTCTTTTGACAATGTTAAAAGCTGGTTTGTGCAACCCGGTGAGTATTATCTCACTTACAGCTAGTAAAATAAGTTCTTCAATAATGTGAGGCTTTCCGGACTTTGCAGTCATGTAATATATAGAAACATGCAATCCATCGTCACCTCGCATAAATTTTGTCCCTATAAGTTGTTGCAGTGACGGTGTTTTCAGATATTTTCTTTGACTGTTTGAAAAATAGTTAAATCTTTATCTTTTTTGTCACTATGGATTTTTATCAATTGTTCGTTAAGCTTGGAATGTTTCATTGAATCACTTGTTATAGTTTTATTACATAAAAGACACATAGGTAAAGTACTATTTCCTGGTGAAGAAATAAAAACATACTTCAAATATTCAACACTGTATTTTCGAAGTTTTTTCTTCGACTCATTCATACTGTTATCTCTTAAAAAAGGAACAAAAGATGTAAGAAAATTTGTAAATAAACTGTTTAATTTGTAACAAACCACTGTTAATAATTATAAGCACCCACTTTTATTTATAGTTTACTTAGGACGTAAAAATCGCTACTATTTCATCTATCTTAATTTCCATAGTAATAAAAACCAATCACAACTTTATTATTTAATATTAAACCTCACGCAGAACCCCTGACATTGTTCTAGGACCCCTAAATCAGTTTTTATTTTTCACGGACCCCCTGAATGGTACCACGGACCCCTGGGGGTCCATATGGACCACTTTGGGAAACACTGTTATACAGTAATAAAAGAAATACTAGGTTACTAATAGTAACCTATTATTATCTTTTATGAAGTAATTTATTTCTTTTATGAAATAATTTAAATGACAAAGGTCAATTTATCTGTGGGTACTGCGTTTTTTAAATGAATCAAATAAGACGTTTGCCAGTTCCACAATTAAGCCAATAATTTCCAGAGGTTTCTACACAGAAATCTGAAAGGGGTTTTCCATTTAGGTTCATAATTGCGTTTAACGCTTCTTGCTTAAGACCAGTACGTAATGTTTTTTTTTTTTTTTTTTTTTTTTTTTTTTGTAAGTTTATTGCTGAAAAGCCCCTTTCAACAGCTGCAGTACTCCCAGACAGAGAAGACAT